TAATTTGAAGATTATGAGATACATTTTTACATAGTTTATTCCTTTGATTTTACCCTCTAGTCTCCACTAGAAACTCTAATTGCACGTTTTCATCATTCTAGTATATACAATATGTCTGTAATTTTCATGGGAAGAATCGAGCTTGATGAAACTGTAGATCAAATAACAATGGTCAATACTATCAACTTTAATTCTTTCATTTCATATTTCTCGACAAAAAGTAGCATTTATCATAAATGCTACTTTTTGTATGTATACATAAATGATTTATGTATACATATTTTAACATTTATCAAGTTTAGAAATATATTTTTAAAATAGTTTCGTGAAATTGACGTACTTTTGCATATTATTTAATTAAAATAATGATCAACTCGATTTTTAGAAACGATCGAAGACACTGTATGAGCAACCGCTGCTTCCTTGTGAAGAATTCAAGCCTGATGGGAATAAGCGCTAAGCCTATTCCTTGCGTTTGGACGGGTGTGCCAGATGCTGTACTGTTGTGCCTTCAAACATCGGCAGGTTCTCGCAAGTGATTAGCGGCAATTCAATTTCTAGAGGTGATCCAGGAAAAAACGTCGAATGCCGATCAGTTGCTGTGTCATGGGATATATTTGAACATGTGATATACTCCATGACACAGTGGAGAGTAATTCCGCAAAATTCAGCCGATCATGGAGGACGGTCGATCGATTCAAGAAAAAGCATGCTTCTAACAATGTATCCCGTAAGATTGACGTTGTTTTTTCAAATGTGCAGATTTACTTTCAAAGATGTTCGAAGCTTCCGACGGTCTTCGAATGATGATAGTACTCTCCGGCCAGGACGCTGGAGTCGGATGGGAGTTTACGTCGGAGATTTCAAAATTTGGTTTGAAGTTCAGACGTTACAACTTGGAACAGATAAGTCCTCAGTTTTGCCTTTCGATCAGTTCAGTGTGTTCAGTGTCAGTGTCAGATTTGTACGAGACGATAGTTTAGGGTATTAGACAGATTGCTCGAACTTCCTACTACTTGTGACATACCTGAATCCTTAAGCGATCAATCGCATAGTACTTTCTTGCGTGCATTGTCTGCGGTTGAGCTCCTGATTGAAACGCTCTGTGAGTTCGAGAGGTGTGAACTAGCTCAGGTCTGCTCAGCTTCAACATTTGAGCACAATAGGAGTAAAGAAGACATACTTTCTCTATTTTCGCTGACGTGGTTGATCTCAATTCAATGACCCTTTGACGCCATACAACTAGTCGTAAAGTTCGTGAACAGTGTTTGTATGGATGATACTTTTCTGATGAACTTATTTTCCAAATGAAAATATTTAATGACTAACATTCTTGATTAATGTACTACCTCAAAGTCAAAGTTTGATGTTTAGGTTTATCCAAATATTTCAAAAGTTATTTGTTCAATTTGTGTATCTTTCTACGTTTCCTTTGTCTTGCCATGGTGAGATGAAACCACTGCAAATGTCAAACACATATATCGTGGTTTATGTAAGTACTCTGTGTCTTATGCATGGGCACGGTTGATTTTGAAACTTAGACAACTATTAACTAATATTGATTATATTTGTGAAAGTACACGTAAGTATTGCCATGGTTGTGTTTGAAACTTAGAAGCTATAAAATTTTTTTATAAGATTTGTAAAACTGCTGGTTAATATTGTCATGGTTGCGTTTGGAACTTGGAAACTATCATAAATTGATGATATTTGTGAAAGTACGTTTTAGTATCGCTGCAACTCTTCATCTTGCCTTTGAAATTGTTCAAAAATCTTCATTGAATCAAAACAAAGGATGCAATTTGTGAAATTATTCACGGCTTTTAACTAATTTCAACCAACTTCATGTAATTTACAATCTTCATGCGACTTTCAACGCTCAATTATTGCTTCATGTTGCAATATTGAGTTAGAAGACCTCTTAAGATCTCCAGACTTTTTTCAAAGAGTACAAACATTATTTCTTGAATTTTTTTCTTACATACTTTAACTCCTTGACACAGCAATTTCATAGGAAACTATTTAACTTCTTCTACTCCATGAAGTATATGAATTCAAACATCCAAGAAAAGTAGATATTTGAAATGTATTTTCCAAATTGAATAAAAAAGATCATGATACATATACATCTATATATACTAGAAACTTTGTAGGTTTTACCATTCTATACTCTAAACCCACACAAGAAAAATACTTGTCCAACTCAAAAAGTCGTTTTGAGGGATCATTAAATGTGATGACTAACCTCCAAAATGTTGTCGTATAACCTTGTGTGGTGTTGTAGCATTCGGTTTCTAAGAAAGCAGTAACCTCTTCGCTGAAGAAAACCCACATCGCCTCTCCTTACATGTGAATTAGTATTTCATGTAGATACGACTCTCAAATTTAGACAGATGGAATGTCAATCTATTGTCAGCAGATCTCACTATGTGAAGGATACTATTTTCAAAATAAGCTAAGAGAGATGATTCTAACTTAGAAAAGATCCCCATCGGAGAAGACTAAAGTCAATTTGTCCTCATTTTCAACCTTGTTGCTCTCCTAGGCAAGCCTTTACCAAAGAAGCCTCAATGAAACGTTTTTCTCTAAAAAAATATTGGACCAATTTCATCATGTAGATACGAGTTCTTGAATGTAACTTACAATGCATCGAATTAATTAATTCTTCTGTTTGATAGTTAGAATCTTGTAAAATTATATAGGTTTTTGTAATTAGAATCCTGTAAGGGAGTATTCTTTATTGGAAGCAAGTATTCTTGCTTATTGCTTCCATTATCTACTTGTTGGTGTTTTGCGAGATCGTATATGAATAAGTGTATGGGATCTTCTACAGCCTTCTCAACACTTGAAGGAAACATCGAAAATAAGAGTTCAACCTATTCAAACAGACTTGTATCAGACTGTCTTGACACCACTTACATGTGTTATGGTCCAGGTTTGTACATTTGACGATACATATTAAAAGTTGACCTTTAAATAGAATAGTGCCTCTAACCAGGTGAGGAGTTTTTCAACTTGTTATATCCTTCAGTATCCTTAGCTTAATGTGATTTTAGGATTTCATGTTTGATCATGGTCCTGCATATTAAAAAAAAGTTTTGGCATAATGAGTGGAGTTTATGTCTTTTCTGAACCATAGATATATGTACGAGTCCAATTTATCCTCACTCCGACATTTTTCTCTATTGTGTTCGTCGTGGTACATTTTCCGATATTTCACTGTATTTTGTATTATTTTTTTCTTTTTTCTCTTATCACAATATTATCACTTAAATTTAGTCTTTTGATCAACATATTTCCTTTCGAGGAAGTTCAAGCAAGATAACTTCTAGTTCATGATAGACAGAGATCTCATTCACAGCATCAAGTTTTACATATCACGCCAGTCAGTGCTCATTTTTTAGATTATTCATGTTTCCTATGTGTAGTAATTGCATAACCACAGAATGCTTTTACTGAGAACTATATGTTCTTCAATTTGAAAATAGACCTATGTTTCTTCTCTTATCTAACATGATTTCAGACAATAGGCTTCTTGCCAAATCTTACTCCTATTATACATGACACCACTCCATAAAGCCTCTCCTTTCTTGTATAGATACTAAATCAAACTTTCCACACCCCTTACTTCTTGATGGTAACTTTTTGCCGACATTCCCACCTTACTGTTGATATAAATACGAAACATTGGAATATTCCTAATTCCTAGACCCTAGATCAAAAACTTTACTTATCTTCATAAAATCAATCCTTTCATTGATGTTTATCGAGTCTATGTTGGTTTGCCCCTTGTTAAAACCGTTAAGAATTAACCTTGTTAAAGATCGCTGAAGAAATCAAAGTTTTCTACTATGACAAATAATCCGACTAACGCATAAACGCGAGAAGAATGATATTATGCTGTTCAACATCTCACTTCTTTAGATCACTTCTGTTCAAATGTTACACGCTTATTGGACTAATGGATTCACGAGAGATAGATATCAATTATGCTCTTTACCGAATCCTCTTGTTGATCATTTCGAAGGGATCAGCATAAAATACATTTGTTACATATATCCATCTGTTTGCGAATTTACACCAGATTTGCGTTGTCCATGTGGGAAATTTTACTGTCTAACGGATGGAGTAGTAAGGGTGAAGATGACAATTTTTTACCAGATCCTGAAATTAATCAGTCTTGTCCCTAGGTATAAGCTTACCTTGGTAGCTCAGACTTAGTGTGTTTGATGAATCTTGGAATATACTAAAATTCTAACTTTATCGTAGTTTCTTAAGAGGTAAGAGTTCTCGCAACAATACGATGAGGAGGTAAGTTTGACCTACCACTAGGAATTTTTTGATGCAATATCTAGTAGGTAGACTTCTGTCACAGGATTGACAAGATAGACAAGATTTATTAGATTGCCAAAAGCTTCCTTAATCCAAGTTCATGCATGATGAAAATCAAGCAGATCTTCCGATGGTTTCTGTTCTTCTCCTTTTCAGAAATAATAAATTTTAGTAATGATCATGAGAATAAGTAAACTTTCATTGTTTCAAGTGATTTCAATATCAATAATTCATTCGTTAATGAGACAAGCGTAAATTGGTAAAGGTAATAGTGAGATGTCGTTAATAAGACAAGCGTAAATTATGTCCCTAATTTGGGAACCAGATAGCATGAAAAGAGACCATGAAATATCTTACCACCTGTATGTGTTGACTCCCAGATCCATCTGTAGATCGTCTAAGATCTGTGCATCAGATCCGAGCATAGGTGAGTGTACCAATGAAATAATACATTAACAATTGTACGTTCTGGCCGAGTCATCGCAATCAAGCTCAATTATAAACTGCTTGATAGTCTAGGTCATACAATTAGATAGTTTTCTCTCTTATACTTCGCACCATCCGAGTTGGCCATGTATGTCATCTACATTAATTTTGTGCTTCTTTTTTTTCAGTTTAGTGAAACTAACAAAAACTGACTAAACTTCAGAGTTGTTTCCGATTCGAATATGGAGAAAATGGAGGCCTCCACATCTTCGACACTACCAAAGTTGCCACTCAGGAGATGCCTCGAAGACATCAGCAATTCTAGCGAGCCCAATCTGCCTTCTGCTGCAGTCGTGGATGTTACCCTCGGCACAAAAGGGTGATCACAATTTATTTTGCTCGCAATTACACTGCGTTTTGTAGTTGTCTCCATGTAGATCCAAATGACGCATGATCTCTGAAGCCGAATATTCTTGTCGGTTCTATGAATGAAACAGGAAGAAGCTGAGAGTTTATCATGCTCCGCGACGAAGGAGGCCATACACGTCGTGGACGGAGGAAGAAGTGAGTACACCATTGGTTGATAACTGATACTGTTTTAGCCTCTATGTAGACGAATCAGTCTTAGGAATGTTAGAAACATCGACAGGCCCAATGTCGATTCTGTCACGATTTTGAAACCATGATGTTCACGACCTTCAGAGGAAGCACTCGAGTTCCTCCAAGTAGGAGTGATGATTTTGGTTCATATTGTTTAGATTGGACAGTACAACTTAAGTGTTAATACTGTGCTTAGATTAGCGAATACAACTTAAGGTAATTTTTCGATTCATTATCAGGCTTAGTCACAGGATATATTTTCTCACTCCGATAGTTGACTTGCCCTGCAACATCTGTAGTATTTTTAAGTAGGGTCTGTTTCTCTGACCACTCGTATTCAATGTAACATTTGATGAACATCCACAGGTGTTCTGAACTGAATATCTGCAGTGACTGAGTTTTACAATTAATCTGAAGCCAAGGCGACTGTCTACTTCATTGTTACAGGACACAGCATTGCGAGCAGCAGTTGAGCAGTTCAAAGGAAGAAATTGGAAAAAAATTGGTGAGTACACATGTACGAGTTTTTTTAGATGAGTTCATTATTTTGGTAACTTTCAACTGCTATGACCACAACTCTTCTGTGTAAAATCTCAAGATATGTATTGGACTGATGGCATGTGCAGCTGCGAATGTACCGAATCGGTCAGATAATCAGTGCCTTAACCGCTGGCAGAAGGTCCTTGATCCTGCCCTCGTCAAGGGATCCTGGACGAAAGAGGTAAGTGCCTCTTATATAAATAGATTACAAGAGTGAGTTACCCAAGATCCCACGTTCAAGAAACGTGATGATTGATATAAGTAGCTTATTTCGCAGGAGGACGATAAGTTGCTCGAAATGGTCAACGAGTTCGGCACCAAGACATGGGCTGCCATCGCTAGGTCATTGCCGAGCAGAAACGGCAAGCAGTGTCGAGAGAGGTGCGTATCAAATATGTGGTGATTTTTATGTTCCGACACTTAATAATCTCACTATAGTCTCTGAAATCTCCTACTGATGGTAATCCTGCTAATCATGGGAATTTTGAGGTGCACCTGTGAGTTTATGTGAAATGTTATTATTCGTGTTGTTGTTCTAAAATTTTGTTGTTTCAGAAAAATGAGTCGTTCAAACAGTAGCTTGAGAGAAAGAGTACTTTAAATAACATGTTACTAGTGTTAATATCTCTTTGATTGATGTGAAATAGTTCACCATGGATATTTCTGTAATTTCGAAGTTATTAATTTTAAATTTACTCCAAATTTGCGAACTAAAAGTTTCACAAAACATTATTCTAACCTGCTTGGTAATTTATTACTTTACAGATGGTGCAATAATCTTGATCCCCAGATCAAGAAGGAGCCGTGGAATGAAGAAGAAGACATGAAGTTGTTTTTGGCTCACAAGAGGTTCGGCAACAGCTGGTCAAAGATCGCAAAGCTAATTCCTGGCAGGTAAAGTCATTATATTCGGAAGATTTAATTTGTGTGGTTACCTTGTATTATAAATGTTACTTAGCAATTTCCTCATCTAATTCTTTTGCACACAATGAATTCCACAGGTCGGAAAATGGTATCAAGAACAGGTGGAACATAACAATCCAAAAACGTGCGGATGCACTCGAACAATCCACTGAGAACTGGATAAATAGGAACACATTTGAGGATATGTTATCCATTATTGACGATGTGGCTCCAACAGAGCTTGATGTTTCTGAAGATCATCTGGCATTGAATGGCGAGGCCAATATCGATCTTCAAGACTCGAATGCTGCGAAAGACCTTATAGCATGGAACTTAGAGTTTGATATGGATGTTGATGTAGATAACTTCTTAGACCTCCCAGACTTGAACCTCTCTCCTTGATATCAAATTGTTACAGTTCATGTGAAGATACCTTATTGCAAAAATATAATGCATGTACTTTATTTTTCAAAATGATTAGCACTTGAATGGCAACACAACTTTGTTTTAAAAAAAAACATTTGAAACACAAGATGATTTTAGTATTTATTTCAGTAGTTATCATAAAAGCTTATTTTATAAATCACGTATAAATAATAAAGTATGTGCATAAAGAATGTATAAAATTGATTTTTTCAAGGAATATGTATGCTCTTAATATTACACAATCGTTTGAAGAATGCTTTCTGCAAACTAGATTTATTTCTTATGCCAAATTTATTTATGTCAATCTTGTGTAAAACATCTGACTTTAATAAATTATTGATGTTTTCATATACCATAAAACACACTATAGTTTGCTCTAAATTAATCTAAAATAAGTCCAACAAGTTGAAATCACTCATAATCTTGTAATAAAGGGCACAAAAGATCATATAAAAGAATAGATCTATAAATCTAGTTTGAAAAAACCAGAAAAGAAAATGTTACTAAAATTTTGACCACTGTGACAATCAAATTGATATTTTCAATATAATCAAGAATTTAGTAAAATTGTACATCTAGCAAAAAATGTCATGCAACTAGTGTTCAACATATGAGCAAAAGAGATTTTTACGAGGGTCTTGATGTTTCGAGAGTAGCTAGTGGGCCAGAGATTAAAAAATCTTACTTTGACCTTGTAAAAAAGTACCACCCGGACATGGATAAGGAAATTGATAAGGAAGAGGAGAAATTTCAGCAAATCCAGCATGCATTGGAGATTTTGAAAGATGACGAAAAACGATCGATTTATGATTAGATGGGTCCTTAGGAGCCCTCAGTCTTATGATGCTGCAGCTGATGGAGGAGGACTAGGTCCTAAAGGGTTCAGATAATTGGACGTTCATGAGTTCTGAATTTGTTTTTTGGAGTTCAACAAGACGGTAGAAGATGTACATTGAAGATAGATATTGACTTCTCGCCCCGATCTTCAATGAGCGCGCCAACACATGAGAGAAGAAGAAAACCTAAAGCTAAAGTTTGCAATGTCCGCCACGCCCGTACTTTAAGGCCCCCCTTAGCTATAATCATATGGATGGGAGCATTCTGGGTTGCCAAAATTCCATCATTTGTGACCATTCCTACATAATGTAATAACCCACCAAAGGCTAAAACTGCAGTATGGTGGTAAAAAGATCGAACCCACAGGGACAGAGGCAACACACAGAGTAAAAGTGTCACGTTTAACAGACTTTTGTAGAGTTTGAATTCTCAGGCGACTGTCACTCCCAGAAATACTGCAGTGCTCGACTCAGAGACTCGACTCGGAGGAGGATCTCAACTCGGAGGATGCTCGGAGGATGCACGGTACAGCGTAGTCACTCAACACACCCACACACACCTGAAACTGGCAAAAGCACAACTCGGAGGTCGGTCAGGACCTCCGCTTCAGATTTCAGGGGGAAAGTGTCTCAAAAGTTCACTTAGAGGTTCTGCAGGTAGTGACTCCCACTCCGGCTTTTACTGCCCTTCCGCCAGGAACTAGCGTAGGGTACCCGGACTGGACTTCCCACTTCGGAACGAAGCCTCTTCATACGCCGTGGACGTCACCCTCGACTCACACCAAACGCAGGGAGTGCAGGCCCGACTGAGAACTTAACTGAGACACAATCCAGTAACACACACACAACCTGAATTGCAAACCAAGGCTTACACGAAGTAATAAAACTTCACTTTGGCATTCAGGGGAAACTTCCCGTAGGAGTACAATCAGGATATATCACTCGAAGGAGTAAGGGGGAACTGTTCAAGTATCTAACTCGCAGCGGGCTCTGAGCATCAGAAATCACCCGCAGGTGCAGATCCGCACTACTCAAGTCTCTAACCGGGTGCTAGCTCTGAACATTCAGCCGAAGGCCTTCAACTACAACATACGGTAACTTCGCTATGCTGCAGCTTCTCTACGTGGTGCAAGGACCAAAATGCACAAACACGCCAAGAAAGTGAGTTCCTGATCTGCACTTCCGAAACTGGAAGAGTCCCAAGGCAAAACGCCTTGATCTACTTTATACCTTCTAAGGTCCTAACTAACACTACGCTATCCTATCTACTACTCGCAACACTTGCACGAAACCAAACTACACTACTGCACTCTGCAGATCCGGTGCTGCGCCTCCTGCGCGCCGGACTGCCTCGCTCGCTATCTCTACCCTGCCAATCTTCCGACTGGCTGCGCAACCCCAGGCGTCGGAGGGCTGCAGTCACTTCCGACTCTAAGTGCGCCATAGTGTCGCGCGCACCCAACAAGAAGGATTCTAATTTCCTCGCTACTCGCCGCCGACTCCGACTGTCACCCTCCGTCAATGCCGCCGCCCGAAGCTCGAACTCCCTGAGTGTGATCTTCTCTTGAGCTGCCACCTCCCAATGGGCGTATCCTTTTAGACAGTGAGTCACCCGTGTCGCCAACTCTTCTCGCGCCCGGCAGCTGCCTTCCACCTCTGCTAGCTGCATTTCCGCATCTGCGCGCTGCGCCCTCAAATCCGAGCACTCGGATTGCAAGTTGCGCAACAACTCCTCATCCTCCTTGCGTGCTCTTTGACTTTCTTCTAAGGCGCGCGTTTGGCGCGCAAGCTCTGCTGCTAAGATGCGGTTTTGTCTCCGCTCTTCCTGCAATTCCGACTCGATCTTTGCCCGCATTAGCTCAACATCCGCCTGGCTTTTCGTCGCCGCATCCTCCCTCTGCTGCTGCAAGGTTTGGTATAGCTTCTGTGTGACCGCCAGGTGTTGTCGGAGGGTAGTGTTCCTATCCTGCAATACTTGGCACCTAGAGGCCCAAGTGGCCACCTTGCTCCTCGTCCTGCGCTTGACAGTCTCCACATAAGACTGCGGTTTTCCAGTACCCGAGTACTTGGAGGTCTTGCGATCCAGATATCGCAGGAGTGGGACTATCTGCTCGCACAACACCCCTGTTGGCGTTTTCTGCACAGAATCCGCTTCCTGCTCTTCTGAGCTCGTCTCATCCTCAGTTTTGAGGATTTCAGTCGCCACTGAATCCCTTGGCGACTCCCTGGAACTGTGGCGCGCAGCAGCTTCCGCCGCGACTGCCGCTCCACTCCCTGCTAAAATATCCAAGGCAATGGGGGATCCCACTGCTTGAGCCCCTGTTCCGGCTCGATCTTCGGTTTCCGAAGGGGTCGACGCCGCAGTGACTTTTGTCACCTTTGCACCGCCCGCTTCCGCTGCCTGCCCTTCCGGCGCGATCTGCGCGGAAGGTGTCTTTGCTGGAGGTGCGTCCGCCGAAGGCGTCCGCACACTGGTCGCCGGCCCTGTCCGTCTCGCAGTCGGCGAATCTGGTCGACTCTCTGTTGACCGACTCGCAGTCGGCCGACTAGCAGTTGTCCGACTGGCAGTCGGATACACCCTGCGCGTCTTCACTCCACTTGGCCTGCTTGCTGGCGGCGTTTTCCCAGAAGTGCCTTCCGCCGAAGACGACCCTCTGAGGGTTGTTGGCTCGTCAGCCAAACTCCCTTCTGCTTCTGGTCTGCTGTCCGGTTCAACGCGCCGCTCCGTCGGCCTTCCTTCCGTTTGTCGACCTTCAGTCGCCCGACTCGTAGTCGGCCGACTGTCAGTCCGTCCGTCTTCTTCCGAAGGCATTGGTGCCTTCTGCGCAGAGGTATTTGGCGACTTCCCCAGAATCTGCGCGATTATCTCCTCCTGCGTGGGATTCCGCCGGACCGGAGTACGCCCGGTATCCTCAGTACTAGTTGGCATTTTGCGTGCCCTCTGTTTTGGTCAACTGTGAGGCTCGTTGGTTGGCGGACTACGAGTCGGCGCAGCTGGCGCTTCCGGCTGCCTGTCCTCAGGTCTCTCGTCCCACTTCCGCTTTCGCGGAATGCGCTCACTCCGACGTTCTTCTGTTGCTCTTGCTGGGGGCGGAGCCGGAGGTGGGCTGGTAGGTGCCTCGTCCGGATCCGTGTCTACTTCGGCCTCCCGTGAGTATCTACCTGGATAGCTCCGTGTCAGCAGCGGAAACCGTGTCCGCTCTGAATTTGTCAAACATCCCATCGCCCGATAAAACACAATCAGGTAAGGCGAAAGATGATTGAGGGTTCCTCCTCTCTCTTCTTGCGCATGTTGGCGCGTCACCTTCCACAAGAGCCGTGCCCAATGCACTGGAGCTCCTGACAACACTAGCTCCACAAATCCTACCTGCCAACCATGCATGTAAGCGGTCTTGGTCGGCTGCAATATCTGCAACAATGCAGTCGCGACATTTCTGCGCAATCGATCTTTGTAATCCCGTGTCCGGAAACCGTTCTTGGGATGCCTGGCAACTTTGAAAAGCTCATTGTAGGAGATTTCTTCCTCCTGGGACACCTTCACGCTATCGGCCTCGAAGAGGAGATACCCTTCCTCGCCGGCACACCTGCCCAACACCTGCGCCTAGTCACAAATGTCCCATCTTTCTGGATGTGGACGGAATCCGCGTGAGGGCTTGTGTCTCTCCTGCAGATACTCGCGCACCATCTCCGGACATGTCCAGTTCCATCCCCACAGGAGGAAATCGAGCTTCAGCCCCATCAGCACATCTTGAAATGCGCGTAGACCGATCTGCAGCACCCTGAGTGGAGACACTCGCAGCTGGGGGACCTTCAACATTGCGTTTCCTGCACACACAAACGTTCTCCCTTTCGCTCGCTCTCTCACAATCGCCACTGCGCGTCGGCCGCTCAAGCACTGACTGCTCACTCTCTCTTCTCTCACGCTCAAGTTCGCTACTCGCAATTCTCTCCAAGGTCTGTCAAGATCCTTGCGCAACTCGCCTCCGCACTCTCTCCTCTCTCTGCAGGTCTCTCCGCCCTTGCGCGAATTCTTGGAAGCTGGAAATCGCAAAATCAAGAATGAGAGAATGAGACTGGAGAGCAGTCTTTTCTTCTCCGAATTCAAGATCGTCCAACGTTCTTACTGGTTACAATTTACGC